TGTGTATGTAGTACGCCCCCTGTACAGTGTCCTCTGTGTGTATTACGTCCCTGTACAGTGTCCTCTGTGTGTATTACGTCCCTGTACAATGTCCTGTGTGTGGTGTGTGTAGTACGTCCCTGTACAATGTCCTGTGTGAGTAGTACGTTCCTATACAGTGTCCTCTGTGTGTAGTACGTCCCCTGTACAGTGTCTTGTGTATGTAGTACGCCCCTGTACAGTGTCCTCTGTGTGTATTACGTCCCTGTACAGTGTCCTCTGTGTGTATTACGTCCCTGTACAGTGTCCTCTGTGTGTAGTACGTCCCTGTACAATGTCCTGTGTGAGTAGTACGTTCCTATACAGTGTCCTCTGTGTGTAGTACGCCCCTGTACAGTGTCCTCTGTGTATATTACATCCCTGTACAGTGTCCTGTGTGTGTATTACGTCCCTGTACAGTGCACTGTGTGTGTATTACGTCCCTGTACAGTGTCCTGTGTGTGGTGTGTGTAGTACGTCCCTGTACAGTGTCCTGTGTGTGTGGTGTGTGTAGTACGTCCCTGTACAGTGTCCTGTGTATGGTGTGTGTAGTACGTCCCTGTACAATGTCCTGTGTGAGTAGTATGTTCCTATACAGTGTCCTGTGTGTGTAGTACGTCCCTGTACAGTGTCTTGTGTATGTAGTATGCCCCTGTACAGTGTCCTCTGTGTGTATTACGTCCCTGTACAGTGTCCTCTGTGTGTATTACGTCCCTGTACAGTGTCCTGTGTGTGTAGTACGTCCCTGATTTTAACTTTGTTGTTGTTTTTTTTGTTTCTCCAGTGTATTCACAAGGGATGATGCTCACCGTTTCCATCGGGGAAGAAAACATTACAATCAGCTGGAGAATTACTTAAAAAAACAGACCCAGGATCGAGCCCCAGCCGGTATAAACACGTGAAGATGGCAGCAAGGACAGAACTGGTAACTAATTATAAAAACGTTACTAATTAATAATTAAAATAAAGTTAAAGTATAGGCTACTAATCATGACAACCACTAATATCTCACCGCTAGAACCTTACCGTAAGTACTTAATGTTCTCAAGATCTTAATTACTTAACACGTTCCAACCATAGAAACTGTTTTCATGTGCTACAAAATATTCCGAATTTTAAAAATAGATACATTTGTACCTTGTTAAAAAAAATCTCTGTGACATGTAATCCGTATCTTTGTAGAAGGTAACGTTACTAAAACTACATCTACAGATTACGTATCTTTGTAGAAGGTAACGTTACTAAAACTACATCTACAGATTACGTATCTTTGTAGAAGGTAACGTTACTAAAACTACATCTACGTTATTAAAACTACATCTAC